GTTAACAAACCCAGGGACAAGGGAACAACAAGTGATCCAAAACCGATGGCAAGGAGGGTGTAGGAGGCCTGGTAGGGCTTGATCAAGGGCAATATAACCGAGAGAAATTACTTAAACTCAAATGAAGGGTGAGCATGAGGGTGGGACAAGAGGAAGTCAAAGGAAATAGAGGAAAGAACTCTGGGGCACAGGGTATTTACGGAGGTCTAAATACAGACATGTGCATATGTAAATATATCTATATATGACGATGGGGAAATAGATCTATTTGCATATATTTATAGGTTTAATATTAAGGTAGCAGATGGACAATGGGCCTCTACTCAAGTACTTCCTCAATGCAAAAACACTTTGTTTTATTACACTGGCCCTCCATGATGCTCACCTTCCTAACAAGATCGCTGAAGACAAAGCAGGTGCATAAGAAATGTGGTGAAGAGAGCTGATGGTGCCCGGCTATCAAAAGATATAGCATCTGGGGACTTAAAGGCTTGAATGTAATCAAGCAGCCATCTAGCTCAGAAGCAACAAAGCCCACATGGAAGAAGCACACCCAGCCTGTGTGAGCATGAGGTGTCGAAGGGATCCGGTATCAGGCATCAAAGAACAAAAAATTATATCATTGTGAAAGATTGGGGTTCAAAGCCCATCTGTATGCAACTGCACATCCCCATACAGAAGGGTCACGGGGAGGAAACGAGCCAGTCAGGGTGCAGTGTAGCAATGATGAAACATACAACTTGTCTCTAGTTCTTTAATGCTTCCTCTCCCTCCACTATCATGATCCAAATTCTACCTTACAAATCTGGCTAGATCAGGGGGTGTACAGTGATACAGATAAGAGCTGGAAGCAGAAGGAATCCAGGACAGATAAGATAAACCCCTTAGGACCAATAATGAGAGTAGCGATACCAGGAGGGTGAGGGGAAGGTAGGTAGAAAGGGGGAACCGATTACAAAGATCTACATATAACTCCCTCCCTGGGGGACGGACAACAGAAAAGTGGGTGAAGGGAGATGTTGGATAGTGTAAGACGTAACAAAATAATAATAATGTATAAATTATCAAGGGTTCATGAGGGAGGGGTGGCAGGGAGGGAGGGGAAAAAATTAAGAGCTAATACCAAGGGCTCAAGTAGAAAGAAAATGTTTCGAGAATGACGATGACAACGTATGTATGAATGTGCTTGACATGATGTATATGGATTATGATAAGTGTTGTAAAAGCCCCCAATGAAATGATTTTTTTAAAAAAGTATCAAGAAAATATTTTTTGTTAAATTTCCTCTGATGCGCATGTGTCACTTCAATAAAAACAAATGCTTGGATATTAAGCTTAATATAACCCATTTATCGTTTTTGTTTCATTTAGTTCTGACAATTCTGTGAGGTAAATACTATTCCCATTTGTTCATTTGTGATAGAAAACATTTCAAGTGACAAATGCAATGGTTTGCCCAGGGCAATCTTTTTATTAAGTGTTAGTGTCAGTAGGAGGAGCCGGGGCTCTTGACTGAAAATCTGGTGCTTTTCCTACTACATCACATCTCTTTGTACTTGCTTGTTTAGTTGGACAGCACATTGTTGGCTCCACCAATTCAAATCTCTAAGACTCTTTCATATGTTGTTTTAAATTCAGGTTCTCCTCATCCTGTACATCTGTAATTGATACTTTTGAATTTACATACATGGTTTTGTTAATCCCCATTCATTTCATCTTATTATTTCCCACTTATGGTTCTAGCTTTGTGAGATCTTTTCAATCTTGATTCTGTTATCCAATTTGTTTATTATTCCTTCCAGCTGTGTACCAACAGCCAACTTTTAAAGCAAAGTCCTAGTAATCCTAGAAGCCTCCTAGTAATCTCTTCTAGTGCACAAGATTTCTACCACACAGTCTGGACTTTAATAAATGGTAATTGATGCAAGGAGATCTTTGCTTTATACAGGATTGGGGAAAGAAAAAGCCCATATATAGTCTTTAACAAGAAAACCTCTTTGGGAAAAAACAAAACCCCCTAGTAAACTATATTCACTTATTTATTTTGAAATTATTACAAGATCACTATAGAACTACGTGGTTCTTACATTTTTATATGCTGTCAAATACTATTTTCACAGTAAACAACACTGTTAAACTGTTTTTCTTTTACATCTGCACTTGTGCTTAATACTTAGTGCATTCATTGCTTTGTAGTTCTAGTTTTCTGAAATTGGCTGAGTTGCTAGGGCTATGGGTCTTGTTTTGTGACTGAATTTATGAAAGAAAGACTTTTACTTGGAATAAATATTAAAATAATTCAAATACCTCTTTCTAAATAAATTTGTGTTCATTATCACTCCTTTATACTAAGGAATATAATGATTGTATATTGATTTAAAGTGTTTTATGGGTGGGAGTGATAAAGGGTTTTTGGTGGCTAGAGGTCAGAGGCTAAGGTGTCTTCATTTCACTCATTGTTGTTGATGGTAGGTGCCATCAGGTCAATTTTGACTCATAGCCACTCTGTGTACAGCAGAATGAAACACCACCCGGTTCTTTGTCATTCTCACAATTGTTCTTATGTTTGAACCCAATGTTGCACCCACTGTGCAAATCCATCTTTCTAAGGGCCTTCCTCTTTTTCACTGCCCTACTACTTTGCCAGGTATGATGCCCTTCTCCAGCCCTGATCTCTCTTGAGTGTATGTGAGAGGAAGTCTCGCCGTCCTTGCCTCTCAGGAACATTCTGGTTGCACTCTTCCAAGACAGATTTGTTTGTCTTTTCTGGCAGTCCGCGTATGTTCAGTATTCTACACTAGCACCATACTTGTTCAAACGCACATCTTTTTTTACTCATAGATGCCATCATTATTTGGGCACTAGAGGAGGGATCCTAGCCCTCCCTTAGCTGTTCCTTCTCTTCTTATTATCCTCTTCAGAACTCTGTAAAAGCAACTTTTTTTTACTCTGATAAAATCAAAGACACTTAGTTTAAAAAGATAGTATCAATGATTTTATAGGTAGGATTGAAAGTCTATGGGTGCTGCCATTATAGTAATGGTATGATTAATATGTAGAGTTTGTTTTAGTAACAAAATTATTTTAATGGCTATCAACTGTTTAGTTCTATATTTGTAGAATTAGTAAGATCTTGAAAGGGCTGCTTAAACCTTTTGATTATATTTTAGGGCATCTATAGTAGTACCTGGCCACATGGAAACCCAAAAACTTTTAACCCTTGATATTTCATAGCTTGCAAGCATTTTCTCCTACGGCTTTGGCTAACATTTTGGTTCTCCACAACAATGTCAGTTTCATGTATATTTTTAACACTTTGGGGGACAGCTATAAAAAGTTGAATTCGTGTCTTTTCAAAGACCTAAATCTTGGCTACTTTGAAGTGAGTTTGTTTTTTTAAATCATTTTATTGGGAGCTCGTACAACTCATCACAACCATACATCCATCCATTGTGTCAAGCACAGTTGTACATTTCTTGCCATCATCATTCTCAAAACATTTGCTTTCTACTTTTTATAGCTGTCCCCCAAAGTGTTAAAAATATACATGAAACTGACATTATTATGGAGAACCAAACTATTAGCTATAGCCGTGAAATAAAAGGCTTGCAAGCTATGAAATATCAAGGGTTAAAAGTTTTTGGTGATAACAGAATTTTTAAGGGGGTATTTTTATACTTTGATTAAATGGAAAAGAAATAAAAATAAAGAATAAGTATGTTTTTCTTTCTTTTAGCAGGTAAAGCAAACCTTAATTAGGTCCCAGTTTGCTTGTACTTACAAAGATGACTGCATGATAAGCAAGTATAAATGGAATAGTGTTAATTCGGCATCAGACCCTTTGTGTGTGCTTCTAATGGAAAATGACTCTTCTGGTAATTGACCTTATTTGAACAATTAGATAACAATTTAATTCCAGTCTCCCAATTTTAACTAATATGTAAATGTTTACTTTTTTTAAAGATATGAGTATATTTAAAAAGCTAAATATATGGAAGGTTTTATGGAAGATTTATGGAAAGGATTGGAAATGGTTTGATGTAACTAAATATATTTGAAAATAATTTTTAGCTTTTGTTTAACTTAATGTTATATTTTTTGGTAGGAGTGAGAGATGGTATGGTAAAATGAGAAATAAGGTGATAGCCTCATTTGTTAGTCATATAATTTATAGCATAAGTTATGTTATCAATTATATGATTTTTATTATAAATCATAAATTTTGCCTATGCTTTCACTATTTCAATGTGTATTATAAAAATTTTTAAAGTAATATTTTTGATATTATATAATCCTTTCCCTTTTTCATCTTACATAACAGAAGGTGTAAAAATATCTGCTGGAAGACTAACAATTGGAACAAGTTCTGGAAATGTTCATCAGGACAGAAGTAAAAATAAAAACATATCAAGAAAATCAAGTACGCGGACAGGAAATAAGAACTCAAAAAGAAAACAGTTGGATTTGGATGGTGAAAATATTTTTTGTGATAATGGAAATGAACAGCTTGAACAGAAAGATACTAAGATACCTAAGACATCAAAGGATTCACAGAAAAAGTTGGATGTCAAATTAGCTCGAAAAGTAAAAGGCAACAAATGTACCACTAAGGTCAAATTGATTAGTGGCCAGACAAAATTAACTCAATTTTTCAGACTGTGAATTTGTCTTCTAACTATATAAAACCCACTCACCAAGGACATACCCTTGGTTTCTAAAAGGTTCAAGGTGCAATTTACCCATGGCTTTATTGTATTGATCTGAAGTGTGTTTAAGGTATCATGCTAATTTGTTAAAAAGTATGGATTGTGATAAGAGTTGTATGAACCCCTAATAAAATGATTAAAAAAACAACTAATAAGTCATAATCTTGCAGAAGTTTCAAGAAGTTTAATAATTCAAGGAAAAAGCATATCATTGTACATTACTAACATCTTAATAATTTCTTTTAGAACAGACGTTTTAAACAATAACATAAAAACAATAAAATCACAGTAGCATTAAGGGCTTTTTCCTTAATGGGCAATTAAATGATTTTGTCTTCTTCTGAAACGATGATGTGGCCCGACAAGTATCAGACTTGCCAACAAGGTCGGTAGACTCTTCCCAGCATACACCTGAGCACTGAAGTAAAAAGAAAAGCAATGAAAAAAATTGTAAGAAATGCATTATTATCACCACACAAAAATATTTAGAAATAAAAAAATGGACCTAGTAGAGCTAATTTTGAGTAAGTAAAAATGACCAAAACTAATTTTTATTCTTTTACTTCTTTTTGTTGTTGTTCACTTTAAATGGACTTTAATTGAACCATGGTCTTTTTAAAATTTTGTTATCATTGGATCCAAATTCAGTTCAACCAAGAGTTTTATTTTATGGAATTAAGTTGCAAAAATTGAATTCTAAAAGACTACTCACTGTCAAAATCCCGCCTTCCTATAGGAAATTTAGCTGAGTTTTCTTCATCCCCAATTTCTCTCTTTTCCTGTGGTGTTTCAGTATTCTGAACTCCATTCTCAGCTGGAAAAGCTACAGATCCTTTCAGTGCAAGATAAGGTTTTATAGCCAAATTCAGTGGCAGACCGTGGTTTAAGAAATTGTGTTTGGAGCCTGCATTCTGTAACGAAAAGGTTGATTTGTGTTTTAGCTGTCTTATTGAGAATGGAACATCATTACAATTGTGTCATATTCTTATTGTATCAGTTCTAAGGTGCTCTTCACTGTTTTGGATTCCTTAATACCTTAGATGTAAGTTTGTTAGGGCAGCAAAATATCCTCTTAAAATATTAAGAGATATTCTTCTCTTTGATGGACGAACCACCAGCTATGTAGAAAATGGCATGAGTTGTTCTCATGTACATTATATGACTATTTGCATATACTTCTGTTTCTAAAATGAAAACTATCCATTTTACTTTTCAGAGAATTTACAAATATTTAAATTTCCGTTGTAATAAAGAACAAATCAGAATTCCTCTTACCTTTGAATTTCTGTTTTCCTCTTCATCCATGAAACCATTCTCGTCGCTTTTATATTGTTCCAAGGAAGGAGCAATAACGGACTTCTCTGCAGCATCTTCCTTCTGTAAGGCTTTCCCCAGTCTGAATGTGCTAAAGACCATGTCATCTTCTACGTTTCTTATGGGCTTTGCTGAAAGTAAAACACCTTGAGAAAACAAAGAAAAGGTTAGTATTAACATGTAGGATGAAAGACTCATTTTAGCCATTCTTAGTTTGATGTTTGCATAGAGTCAAAGATGTATTAAACCAAGAAGAATTTCTCAGTGAGCATGCTTTACTGCTGTTTTCCACCTTTATATATATTTCCAGTTTGAATGGATAGCACTTCAAAGTCTTATATTTTCCTCATTTTAGAAATGACTCATCAGGTAGAGGCTAACCTTTTGTAAAGCCACTAATACCTACATTGTTTTGGTGTTAGTGGCATATTGTTTATTCTTGAATATGAATTTCCTAGAATCTGATTAAGATCGTGGTAGACTGCTTTCTGTTGAGTAGATTAGACTCTTGAAAATGAGTTGTTATTAAGAAAGACCACAGGACATCAGACTTTCTTTATGCTCTTATTATTCCTTCCGTACACTTTGGATTAAGTAATGTATTAAAACTAAATTATTCCACTCTAGGATGGTAAGGATAAAAGTTTTACGTATTTTTAATCATGATTAACTTGAAATAATATTCAAAAAGGATTTTCTTTCTTAAATACTTGATACAGCCTTTGGAGATCAAAGTACAGATGCTTGTTGTTTGGGAAAAAAGGTAAGTCATGCTGTTTGCAAACCCTAACTGTCAGGTATGGGAATTATATCTTTGCAATTACAAAAGGGTAACACTGACATTTATTAGCAATTCATGAATAGCAAGTCTTCGGAAACAATATTTTGTTGCTACATAAGTACGATTTTTGGATGATGAGAATATGTTGTTTGCTTTTAAGTCAAACATTTACAAATTAATTGTATATTTTGACCTCAGTGCAAAAACTGCCTTTTAATGTAAATGTACAAGATACTCTCTAGGGTGTATTCTTTGATATCGAATTTGGGATCATAGACTATGCTGCATGTTTTCCAAAAGTAATAGTAACCAGTTTTTCCTTTAGCAGAGTTTAAGGGCTCCACCTGCCCCATAGCCTAACAAACACTTGAGTCTTTACTGTTGTTTCCTTTCGTGGGTCGGAGGCTTCCTCCATTGTAGCACATAGCAACAACTACCAAAGAGTTGAGTGTTTTTCCACATGATTATGATCCATTTATCTTTCCTCATGTAAAATTCTTTTTTTTTTAAGTTGGTCTTTGCCTATTTTCTGTTATGGCGTTTTGTCATTTTTTGTATTGACTCATGAGAGCTTTTTCTGTATTCTGCACATTAAGTTTTTGACAGCTATGTATGTTGCCTCTGAAGACCATTATTTTTCTATCTGAAGTATATACTCTAAGTGCAAACTTAGTAATATACTCAAACTGTTTTTCTTGCAAAATTGCTTCAGTGCACATACAGCTTTTGAGTTGACAATTATTATCTCCCAGCACTTTATTCTTATGTTAGCTTCTTTTGGTTTCCATTGTTACTATTGAGAACTTCATTGTCAATTTTAACCATGATTTCTTGTGTTGTTGTTAGGGGCTGTGGAGTCAGTTCCTACTCATAGCCACCTTAAGTCCACCCGAACAAAGCACCGCTAGGTCCTGCGCCGTCCCCACAGTTATTCTTTTGTTTGGATCTACTGTTGGAGCCACTGTATCCAGCCTTCTTGTTGAGGGCCTTTCTCTTTTTCACTGACCCCACTTTCCCAAGTATGATGCCCTTCGCCAGGGGCTGGCCTCTCCTGACAACATGTTCAAAGTACTTAAGAGGAAGTCTTACAGACTCACAGTTCTTATTAGGAAGTTAATAGGCTACTACAAGTCAGGAACATAAAACAGTAGCACCTCACCTCAACCAGTTAATCTCTCTCTGGTCCTCAGCCTCTCAGCCATGTAGACCTTTGGTTTCTGCCTTTCCATGGACCAGAAGACCAACACCCTTTTCTGAGATGGTGCTCTTTGACACAGGGTAATGCATGCATTGAACAATTCCCTCTGTTTGTGTTTCCCACTCCCTATGTGTCCCACCCTATGTGCGTGGTCCCACCCTATCATGCAGCGGAGTTACAGAGACATATATAGTTGAGCGAAATTAGGAAATTTCACTTCATCACAGTATTTCATGGATTCTGGAAAATTATTAGCCAGCATCTCTTAAAATATAGCCTCTATCCTATTCCATTTCTCCTTTCGGAATTTTCATTAGAGTTACTAGCAGGTTTCCAAAAGCTGATGAAAAAATTCACTCCCTTTTTATTCCATCTTTCCTTGAACCTTCTAAAGCCTACTCCTTCCACATCTCTCAACTACACTTTTCTATTTTCTGTCTTTCTCTTCCTGTTTACATTTTAAATAACTCTTTTTTTCATTTCAGCAGTAAACTTTTGCTTGCATTTAATCTGCTGTTTAAACTGCCTGTTGAGTTATTTTGTTTTTTATACTTTTTATTTCCAAAGGTTATAGTTGGTTCCTTCTCATTTTTGATTCTCTGTTTAATAGTTTCTTCAGCACATTTGTAATTCCTTCTCTAATTTTTTCAGGTGTATTAAACAGTTCACATTTCTATGTAATTTGTTCTAATATTGGCCATCTTTAATTTTATGGTTTAATATTTTTGCTGATTCTATTTCACAGTGTCTTAATGTGTTTAGCCCATTTTGTTTTTTTGCATATGTTCTTGGAATTGTATCCAGTGGAATTCTTGGCATTTTCATGTTTTGTCTTTTTCAGGGAGGGTTTGTGTAGGAAACAGGAAGATTTCTCCCAGGTCGTCTCCCCAAATATATGTTAGACTTATGACACTGCTTGTAACTACTGGTAAATGATTGTCAAGTTACCTCCCTGAAAGCAGTCAGCTGCCAGACTACTGTCAGGTGCCACCACAGGTAGGGCCCACTCCCTGCTGTTAAGGACAATGGGCTACTTCTCCCTAAAGGCTTGTGGCTATTAATCCGGGTTTGCACCCAACTGATAATGGTTTCTGTAGTAAGCCAGAAAACAGGTCAAACCAGCTCAGTGACATCCAAAGTTAGGCTGCCATCCTGAATCTAGGATCCACCCATCTTGTCACTTGTATACCCCCAATCCCTTCTCTTCCTATTGCGTGTATATCCCTAGATCACCCCCTTCCCATTACTGTATTACCTATAGCACAACCCTTTCCTGTGACATATGTCTTCACCTGGAATTAGGAGGCTTGCATGTTCCCAGAGAATATAAAAGTCTTGGATAGCAATAAATATTCCTCTCTTCATATAGACCACCAAGTGAGGCTGAGGTGAGCATGCTACCATGAGATTGTCTGACTCCATTATTTCAGCCTCTCTTCTATCTCTCATGTTCTCTATGACTTTACTATAATCTTTACTTATTATCGCTGTACAATTGCGCCTACCAGACCCGTGATGATGTGTTAGGGGCTGGTCACCCTGACAGATTTGTGATTGTTTCTGCCATTCACCTCAGGGCACTATCAATCTAGTGCCCCTTTATACTAAGGTTACTAAGATTTCTGCTTGCAGCAGTTTGTCACGAGGAAGCCTAGGATGATGGATATTCTTTTTCACTTCAGTCATCCCAGAGCCATTCCCAAGGCAAGAAAGTTTCTACTTGCTGAGTTTGGTTTTTGTTTTTCTCCAGTTCCCAGCTCTGTGTGGGAAATTCTGATTTGCTCTCTGATTTTACCCAGGTTCTAAACTTTGTCTTCTGTCCCAACTCATGGAGGTGATTGAAACCAGGCTCTAAACCACCAGAAATTCATAGAGGCTCTTGGAGCATTACAGGCTCTAGTCCTTGTTAACCTCTGTGGAAGGTTGCTTTCTCCTTAGCCTCCTTCTGCTTCCCTTATTTGCTGCCAGCTCAGCTATGCACTGTGCACACTCCAAGAATGTTCTCAGAGGTTTTTTTTTTTTCCCTGTGGGGAGTTCTTTGCAAAATAGTATGCTGTACTGTTGGAAATGAGTCTCAGTTCATTTTTTAATGGGAAGTTCTCTTCACAAAGGAATTGGAACTGTTTACATAAATGTTGTATGTATGGTATATTGTTTCTGTTTCTTAAAACTACTTGGTTATAGGAATGTATTTCAAATTGTTTAAATCTTTATTTTTGAAAAATTGTGGTGAAAATATACTTAATAAAACACACAACATCTCAATAATTTTTGCATGTACAAAAATATATGCTTTCTTTAAGTATATTTTATCAGAGGTGGGGGCCAATTAGGAACTGACCCTCTTGGGGACTATTTAAATGTTACATCTATAAGCAAAAAACTCTTAAACATCCTGGCTTCCTTGATTTTGGAGGTACCTTTTCTTTTTAATTTTGTTATACACCCTGATGGCTTCCCAGGGTCTGAACCTGCTATGGAGCAGCCTGTTTAGTTGAAGAAAGACCATGTTAATGTTTGCCTCTTTTATTAGTTGCTATTCTAATAATGTAATAAATATTAATAATTATGTATTTATTTTATGTTTCTAGTACATGAATTGGTTTGACTGATCTTCACTCAAAATTGGGACTAAATCTAAACCATTTTGATGCTTTAGAAAAGTTAGTGTTTTTCTTTATTCATATTTTGCTTCAACTGTATTAGCTTCTGAACATTACGCGGCTTTCTTTTTTTTTCTTAACACCCCTGCCCCCAACTCTCTCCCATTGCTTTCTTATAACCATTTAATTATGGGAGCATTTTCCAGTTATTTTCGATGATAACTAAAAGAAAAAAAAATTGGTTGCTCTGATGTGCAATAGACCATAGTAGATTTCTTTTTCATTGATGCTGAAAATTAAGTGTCCCCAAGTGGTAGGAAAGAACTTGGAAGAGAAACTATTGCCATATGGGCTTGGAAAGGCACACGTGTTACATCAGATATGTTCTATGTTTTCTGAAAAACTACTACTAATACCTTATATTTGTAAATCAATTTCTCAAACTTTACTTTCCCTCCAAGTAACTTATATTTGTCACATTATGCCAGTAAATTAAGTATAAATTAAATGGCATTTAGACAGTGGTTTACTGAGAATTCTGAATTTCTTAATGTTTTTTTTAATCTACCTGTCATAATGATTCACTTACATTTTCAAAAGGCCTACGAAACTTAGAAGCCATTCC